CATTTGAATACTGGAATGGTAGCTATTATTGTAGGCAAACTCTATAAGAGGAAGGTGATCAACCCAACTACCCTTGAAGTTGATCATACAATCTCTTAACATGTCCTCTAAGGTCTGAATGGTACGCTCTGCCTGACCATCCGTTTGTGGATGAAATGTTGTGCTAAGGTTAACCTGAGTACCAAGACCCTTCTGAAATGACTTCCAGAAATGAGAGGTAAACTGAGGACCTCTATCTGAGATGATAGACAAAGGAACCCCATGCAATCTCACAATCTCATTAATGTAAAGCTTGGCGTAATCCTCTATCGAATCTGTAGTCTTGACCGCCAAAAAGCGAGAAGACTTGGTAACCCTATCAACAATCACCCAAATTGAGACATGCTGTCTGCGAGTACGAGGTAAACCTGTGATGAAGTACATGTTGATCACTTTCCACTTCCAAGTAGGAATGTCAATGTCTTGAGTCATACCTCCTGGTTTCTGATGTTCTACCTTGACTTGCTGGCAATTTGGGAACTTAGCCACAAAATCTATTATATCACTTTTCATACCATTCCACCAATAGACTTCCCGCAGATCGCGGTACATCTTAGTGGCGCCTGGATGGATAGAATATCTGGAGTTATGGGCCTCTGCAAGAATATGTTGTCTCAACTCGCCCACATTAGAAACACATAATCGACCCTGGTAGCGAAGCCCACCATCTCCCCCTTGGGAGACAAACCTCAACTCTCTGTTGATGGACTGCACCCTTGAGTTCAAGTAATATTGGATCGCTGTCTTGCTTTTTTTTTAACTTTCACTACCAAAGAAGATTCTGATCTATTCTGGACTATCACACCACCATCTGATGTGTTAGTAAGACTAACTCCTCAGAGAGAACATCTTTTTCTACTTCCTTCCTTTTTTCCCTCAATAGGTGCTACACCACCCTCTAGATTCACCTCTTTCTGGCTTTAAGGTTAGAGATAATCAACATATAGGTACTGAGCTACTACCCTTCTATTCTAAGACTGACTCGTTTGGAAATTGGAACTGAACAACCCGAATTCTACAATCGACTGAGGCATGAAAGAACTGAAACCAATCCATGCCTAGAATGACATCGAAGTCTATCAATTCTAACTCTACAAGATCTGCTGAGGTGACTTTCTGAGAGACTGTGACAGGGCAATTTCTATATACCTGTCTAGCTATAACTAGGTCACCAACTGGGGTAGAGACTAAGAAGGGTTCTGAAGAAGTTTCTAGACTTACTCCTAAGATTACTGCGATAAAGAGAGTTACAAAGGTAAGAGTAGCCCTTGGATCTAACACTACAAAATATCTAAAGACGGACTCAAAATGTACCAGTGATCACATCAAGAGAATCTTCCTGGTCCTGGGGAGCCTGAAGAGAGTAGAGCCTGAAGAGAGTAGAGCCTGTTTTGGCGCTGTCCGCCACCTGTACTAGAAGAGTTACCCTGCTGAGTTGGGTGACCTTTCGGTACTGTTGGAGCTGTAGACTGAGCCCTAGTATTGTTACCTTCTTGCCCCTTCTTGGCAGAAGGGCAATTCTTCACCCTATGACCAGATTGGCCACACCCAAAACATCCTTCCCTACCTGCAAGACACTCGCCTGGATAGTTCTTACCACAATTTGGACAAGTTGGGTAGGTCCTATATCCTGAAACACTTCCCTGAGACTTAGAGCATGGTACCCTACTATTCTGATCTTGTCGAAACTGTGAGTGATTTTCACCACCCGATTTCTGCTGAGAGTACTCATAGTTCCCTGTTCTAGCTTTCTTGGTTACCTTAGCAATTTCCCCAAACTTATCTCCCTCAACCTGTTGATTGTTCGGATTATTCATACTTTGAGCGAAAGGTTGAATAGTGTTTTGAAACTCTGCATTTGAAACTCCCTGATCTGGGACTAGAGAAATTACGTTAGCATTCCTGGCATTCGCATTCCTAGTGTTAGCTCTACGGGGAGGCATGATCGCTGAAATATAGAACGTCGAGTTAGAATAGAATTAGATCATACCTTACGCACGATAAGAATATCAAGAAAGTGAAGTTTTCCTAAAACACTTCATAGCCTCCCTCTCATTAGATGTGGTGCACTTCACACCCATGAAAAGGACTCTACTTAGTGCGGCTTTTCAGACATCCTAAGACTCTTAAACCTAATGCTCTGAAACCAAGTTTGTCACGCCCCGAGCTACCCCCGAGACGCGGACACGGACCTAGGACCACAAGTGATCCCAAGCTAACCCTGCTGGCATGATCATGAGCACACTAAACATTATAAACTGATGCGGAAGCTAAATCATAAAGTAAGTCTGAAATGATGGGGAATACCCATATACTATATCTGAGATATATGAAAACTGATGAGTTTAATACAAAGAAGATATTAACTCAACACTAAGCTGAATCTAACTATGTCTGAAATAAGCCACTACACTGACTAGAAATGTTGGGACATGCCCCAACTAGATCTAGCAAAACTGAAACTAAAGACTAAAAGCGATAAAGATAAACATGTCACTAGTCCTCGAAGAATGAGGACTCACCACTGATGTTGCTGAGCTAAAGATCGAAAATTAATCTAAGCGTGATCTAGATACTGAGAACCTGAACCTACATCACGAGAAGATGTAGCGCACGTAGACTGAATACTAACTGTACTGAAATATGATCAATGCAATAGAGGCTGACTGAACTGTGGGAGTTACTAATAACCGACATAAAACCACATGAGCTAAATGTGGAGTCCGATGTATACGCCACATCGAGAGGACCCAATATACCCTGCCAGAGGTATAGAGGCATGCTGGCGTGATCACTAAACTGATGTTGCCCACAGAGGGGACTTACA